ATAGACAGGAATTTATATGAAAATTAATAATGATTCTTCCGCGATAATTGGAGAAAATGGCGGGATCTCTATTCATGCAGATTGTATTCATGCACAAAGTATTAATCAAACCAACAGCAGCTAATTAATGCGGCTGATCAGCCCTTCACCGCCAGCTTTCAACAGCTCAGGCGGTATACCGTCGGCCAGGGCGGCCGTGTTGTTTTTAAGCCGCCTTATTGCTGCTCCCACCATGCTTTGGTCGATTGTAGGGACGTGAGCTTCGCTTCTATACATTGGTATGGGTCTTTCCTCATCAAACTAGCCACTTGTGTCGCGATTAAAAAGCGCTGTGAAGTGTTTCGGAACAAACATCGGTGCTGGAACCGCATTTAGGTCTGAAAGCATCTTCAGCTGTTCGCGTTCCTTTTCCTCTTGCTTCGCTCTTGTGAATACACTATACATTTATCCTTCATCTTCTTCTCCTATCTCTTATCTCTCAATTCTCGCTCATAAAGCTATTAGCTGCAGGGTCGCTTTGTATGCTCCGTATTTATCTGCAGCATCATCAGGGCACTCGTCGTCATACCAGTTGTTCTTGCGCGGGTGGTAGTTTCCAACTACTAACGTTCGCCTATGGCTATTAGAAATAGGACCATAAAAATCTCAAATAAATTATCTATTTTCTTCTTAGTAAAAGAACACACCGTGCTTTGCTTTTAATGGGATGCACCTGAGCTTGCTTGGTACCAAAATTTCTTAAATTTCTACTAGACATGGGCGAGCCACGATAATAGAGAAGCCCGTTTAACCGAGCCATACCTAAATTGACTGAGATCTGGTGTAGGTTTACGACTTTTAAATAACGGCACCGAGTAAAATTTCACAAAATTGTTTTTTATGAAGCATCACAGACGTTGAAAAAGATGGAAACTGTCTTTTTGTGTCCACTTTGCATGCCGTATTCATTTGAATGACCTTAAAGTATGCTTGCGAAATACTTTCAGTACTCAAATATATTTACATAATTAAGACTGAAATTTTCCTCACAAACCGCAATTATTAAATAATATGGAACGCCTCAATTTGATCAGATTTCAATCGAGAGCATACGCCCGTAAACTTAATACCAAAAATTTGCCAATTTCATTATTAATTTACTCACCTGTCCCATATTGATGAATCCATATTTACTGGCAATTATGTCGGCCACTTGTTTGCTGGCCGGTATGTGCACCGCAAAATCATTCGTATACATCGGTTGCTGTGGCAAGCTATGCGTGCCACGCAGGCTATCCAATAGCTCATTTTGCAAGTCGAACGGCGCACCATCGGCCGCTGTTGTGTTTGCTTGGATGTCGATTGTTGGCTTAGTAATTTTATCACTACTGCCAGCACTAGGGCTACTGCTGCTGCTGCTGCTGCTGTCACCGCCACGCCCAGTGGGAAAATCAAAAGCATTATTTTCCACGCTGCTGTCATTAACGTTGGCATCACTTAGCGGCCCCGCGGCTATCACGCTTACGAAGGCTTCACTATAATCACTTAGTATGATGTTGACAGCTGTGTCGTTGTGGTTGTTATTCTTATTGATACTGTTAATGTTGTTGTGGTTGTTGTTGTTGTTGTTCGTCTTTTTAATAATATCATATTTATAGGCGTCCGCTGTGCGGTGCTTCAGTGTATCGCGATAATTACTGCTAGTCGGGTCATAACTGTTGCTGTCGGTGTTGCTACTGCTGCTGCTGCTGCTGTTGCTACTCGTATTTACAATTTGTTGACTAATTGGCGCCGCTCGGTTGTTGCTATCGCTGGTTGCGCATACAGTTGCTACATTGTAGCTGCTTAAAAATATTACAACAACTAGGGTATATGTAAAAAAGTTGCTACTTTGTAAAAATGAGGCCAATGTGTTGCGCCCAATGTTGGCCAGACATTTTGTACTTGCCACTATTGCGGACACTGTTGTATCCATTCGTGGTCGTTCGTACCATTTTCGAAGTTGTGCTGCACTTTTTTGTTGTTGCGCAGCTGAATTGTGGCATTGGCGGCCGTTGAGCTTATTTAGCTTACTCCCCCTAGAACTATGCAGATGCTGTTGTATTATTTGGGTGCGTAGACGCGTGGGGCAAGTGTTTGCCGCCGCTGTTGCTACTACTCGTGTCGCCTTTATTGATGATATTGAATTGTCACATCCATCATCGTTGCTGCTGTTGTGCGTCAAATACATAGTTGTCTTTGACACGAACGTTGGTTTGGGGTGTGTGCAGTTGTGTGTATGGGTGTGTGTCTGTGTGCCCTTTATGCTTGCACTTATCGATTCCGGTTGTTGCAATATGTTGCCGATTGAACTGTTCGTGCTGTTATTGTGTCTAAAATACGAATTGTGTGGTGTTGTTGGGAATGTTGCGTCGAATTTTGTTGCCACATACGTGCGGTGTTCTTGTTGGTAACCGTTGGAAAAATTTGATATAAAGTAGTAGTTGTTGTTGTTTTCGCTTATTGAAGACTGTTATGCTATGGCTGCATACATTTGCCGCTTGTAACTGATATGGGAGAAACTGAAATAATAAAAAGTGGGCAGTTAGCTACTTGTATCCAATGGAAAAAAATTTAATGATCATAACAAAAATGCTTTGTATTTAATACAAACACGTACACATAATAATAACAATAATACAATTTTTTTGGCGCTTATACTTTTGCTAAGTGGTTGGAGCTTCTTATACAATTTATTGTGTGCGTTCTGACAAATAAAGGGACCAACTATTTTACGCCGCCTCCGAACGGAAATTGGTTTTTATCTGAAGCCTTTTCAAGACAGTCGGCCACTTTGGCTGAGTGGTTAGAGTTGCGTACTACCACTCCGTAGGGCTTGGGTTCGATGTGTGGTTCGAGCAATATCTAAATTAGAAAAAGTATTTTTCTAACATATGAAATCTAAGAGCAGCAATTTCATATACATATACATTAGGGTGGGCCGAAAATCCACTTTATTTAGAATTTTGATTGATAATAGCAAAAAATATGGTTCCTTATGCTCTAAAAAATTGTGTGAAAGATTACATATTTTAAATCTTAGGCTCGCGCAAGTCCATAAAATTCCAAGTCCTAAAAATTTTTTTCTTAGCTTACTTTGTTTCTCTTCAAAATACCAAATTATGTAGAACTAATACTTTCAAAGATAATTGCAATTTTATTGAAAAAATTTGTTAATTAATGTATTTATTAATTTTTATTTTTGAGCACATTGAACTTTGATGGACTTGGGCGAGCCTAAGATATTGACCAGCAATTTCCATCTTTCGCACTGATTGTTTTTAGAGCATAATGAACCATATTTTTGCTATTATCTACCAATCAAAATTCCAAAAAAGAGGATTTTCGGCCCACGCTAATATACATATGTATGTAGATATCGCTAGCTTAGAGTAAAATGTTGCTAAGTCCAATTTTTATGAAAACTCAAGTTTTGATATAGGAAGCAAGGGATATTAAAAATGCATCGTATCGAAAAGGAATACGGTACTTGTCAAAAGTGGCACGGAAAATCCGGCAAAACCAACATAACGCGAAATATTTTAATAAAGGTCGCGTCCTTCTTATTCTTATGGAGTTTTTCTTTGTCTTCAAAACGCAAAATGTTGTATCTATTCAAAGATTTGCGAAGTTTGAACTATAAGCTAGCGATATGTTTGTATCAGGGATAGAATTTGAAAAATTAAAATTGGGCCGCTGCTTAAAAATCATGGAATATAAACGCATCACTTAGTACTAATTCAAGCATACAATAAGTAGAAGAAAATATGTTTTCTATAATATCACAGAATGAAAATTTTTCAAGAAATTACTGACCTATTCGGGTTTTTGGGTCCCTTAAGTTGGATTTTGTATATCAGCGAAAGTAATAAATGCCAACGGAGTTCCAGACACAAAAAAGCTAATTTTATGATTTACCTTGGCGTGTAGCGAAAATGAGCATTTTATTTGCATATCAGCACTTTTTACTGCAATTACGCATTGCTTTTTGCGAACTGTTGTATTAGTTTTGTCTTATCTGAAACAGCCTCCATAAATGTCTTATTATACAAGCCCTGCCCGAAAGCGTTCTCCAATTTACTCACTGGATGGATGGATTCGCAAGTTCGTACATATCTGAAGCAAAATCTACGCTTTATATTATACGAAAGAATTTTTAAATTCTTTAACGATATACCGCATGATAAACGCGGGATAAATTACACGTTTGTAATAACAACAAGCTAAGACGTTTGAATCAATTTGACTCAGTTATGGCCAAAAATCTGCCTACAAAATCGAAAATAGCCTAATTGTGCGTACTTTTCCATCCCTGCTACTTCGAAGGGTTGCCTACCACAATTTCCACAGAAACTAAACAATTATGCACTTTGTCCGAATACGTAAGATCCGCTATATAATCCAAAAACATGAAGTTTCGAGGTGTGTCGTTATTGCAGAGGACCATCGATATGTTCAAGTATTTCTATATTTCCCGCTGCCGGCTTGCGCTATACCAAAAAGATTGCGTGAACAAGTCAATCCAAGCTATTAAGTATGTACTTCCTTTATGACAAGCGTCTACACACATGCATAC